TTCGATAAAAATGTATAATCGTGGGTACTTCCCTAGCAAAACTAATGTAGATTAACGATAAATTTTTTTTTGCTCTAGGTGCTGTTCGGAGAATGTTATGATGTACGCAGATTCGCTCCTCGGAAAAAACACATGTTCCGTTTACCACTTGCCAAGACGCCATTTTGTATCAAAAGTTATAATAAAAAATTTTTTTATATACCTTAAAACATGTATAATGAAGCCTCAAAATTTCATTTTGATCCATTGAATAGTTTCCAAGAAAAAAATTCCCAAAGAAATGTTCATTTTTCAATGCGCCTGCGTAGTATAACCCCTTAAAACGAAGCGTCATAGAGAAAAACATTATGAACAAAATGTTTGTTTTTATGTCCTTTATTTCCCCTCAAAGTTTGTTGGTCTATGTTTTTTACACCCTGTATATACAGGATGAGTCATTTTAATCGAACCAGGGAAATATTTCGAAAAATATGGAAGATATGGAAAAATATTTCTAACAAAAGTTGTATGGTTCGGAGGGGAACATAAGATGGTGCAATTGACTTGACCCTGGATAATCGTTTGAAAGTGACGTGAAGGTTACCTTCAATTTTTTAAATAGAAATCTCCATTTTTCATTACATATTCATGTAGCTTACCTCGAGAGCTTTCCAAAAACACTTGTAATCAAGTATTTTTTCATTAAGTACTTTTCGAGTTATAAGGCTTGAATGTTACAGTACTGTCGGCATTAACATTATCCAAGGTGTACCACACAGAGGTTGCCCGGTCGGATTTACACCTCTGTGCGTGTTATAGGTTGTACCTATTATTTTCATTTCTACGTAAAAATGAATTTTGACAAATGGTTGTGGGCGCACACGCACATGCCTTCTCTCCACTCGACTCTCGCGCGATACTCGTCCTCAAACGTTTCATTAACAGCAAGAAAAACGCTAAATCAGTTACCTCGCCACTGTAGACGTGTCACTTTAGATGCACAAAAATTTTAAATATCAAAATTAACACTTTGTTTCCTTAATAATAAACATGACTGATTAAATACTACGGGACTGACGAACCGTGGAGTCCTTATCTCTGCTGTGAGATACACACACACACACACACACACACACACACACACACAAAAGGTGTAAATCCGGTCGGGCAACCTCAGCGTGGTACATCTTGGATAATGCTAATGCCGGCGATATTGTAAATTTCAAGCCTTATAACTTGAAAAGTACTTAATGAAAAAATAATTTATTAGTGTTTTGGAAAGCTCTCGAGGTAAGCTACAAGAATATGTAATGAAAAATGGAGGTTTCTATTAAAAAATTGAAGATGATCTTCACGTGACTCTCAAACGACTATCTAGGGTCAAGCCAATTGCATCATTTTATGTTCCCCTTCGAACTTTTGTTAGAAATATTTTTCCGTATCTTCCATATTTTTCGAGATATTTACCTGGTTCGATTAAAATGACTCACCCTATATATACAGGGTATAACAAAATTAGACCGACAAACTTTGAGGGGAAATAGAAGACATAAAAACAAACACATTTTGTTAATAATGTTTTTCTCTACGACGCATCGTTTTAATACTACAGGGTACAAAATAGAAATTTTATGATTTTAATAAAAAACTAATATATAAGTGAAAAAATTAAATTTATTTCAATTACACATATATATTTTATCTTCAAAAAACAATGAACAAACAATGAAGAACGGAACAAAAATGCGCAATTGATTAGCTCAATTTATAATAAATGTTCAAAAATTCCTCCATTTGCTTCAATACAAAGATGACATCGTCGAAATTCGGGTTAACGATTCTGTTTCTGTTTCAATGCCTCATCGATAAGAGTTGTGAAAGTAAATACAAAATATCCTTGTGAAGCATGCTTTTGCTTGAAGCAAATGGAGGAATTTTTAAACATTTATTATAAATTGAGTTTAATCAATTGCGCATTATTGTTCTGTTCTTTTGTTAATTGTTTTTTGAAGATTAAAATATATATGTCTAATTGAAATAAATTTAATTTTTCCACTTATATGTATGTTTTTTATTAAAATCATAAAATTCCTATTTTGTACCTTGTAGTATTTAAACGAAGCGTCGTAGAGAAAAACATTATTAACAAAATATATTTGTTTTTATGTCCTTTATTTCCCCTCAAAGTTAGTCGGTCTAATTTCTTTACACCTTGTATATGTATACACACAAAAGGTGCCTCACACTCTGCTACGGGCATTTTGTGGGATCGTAGAACAGGTTGAGGTGAACATAAAAATCCTACTGTTTTGCAATATTCGCAATAATTATCGAGATATTAATTGTAGAAAACTTGTAAATGATCATGCAGAATATGGTAAATGAGATATAGTAGTGACGACTGCCGTCGTGTACTTATACTTTAGGTCAAATTGAACAAAAAGATCCTCTACCATTTTCCAAATAATCACATAGATTTTTAATTATTAATTAAAGAAGATTATTGCACGATTTTGCGTGATAATGCATTCATCTTCTTTAATTAATAATTAAAAATCTATGTGATTATTTGCAAAATGGTAGAGGACTTTTTTGTTCAATTTGACCTAAAGTATAAGTACACGATGGCAGTCGTCGCTATTATAACTCATTTACCATATCCTATATGATCATTCATAAATTTTCTAGAATTAATATCTCGATAATTATTGCGAATATTGCAAAACGGTATAGGACTTTTATGTTCATCGCAACCTGTTTTACGTTCCCACAAAATGACCAGAGGAAAGTGTGAGACACCCTATACATTGATATTATTATCTATCAATATTTATTTAATAACTCGAAATTTTACGTGGTTGTTTAAAAAAAGACACCAAAAATTCCATTACTCACGCCGACGTATTCTAGCTATATATTAGTTCTGGTGGACATTTGATCGCGGGCCTATCTTATAGGCTCAGAGGTGGGGACTATGTCTTAGATCTGACACTGCGTGATAGACCCGCGAGCAATCGTTCCTTTTCTTCGCTGGCCACGACGAACCGTATATCTCGCCTGCCGCGCCGCCACGCTCTGATATGCCCAACTATTTTAATTAATATCTCGAAATTTTACGTATTTGTTTGAAAAATGACCTCTACAATATTTGTTCACTTTTATCTGCTTTATTTATATTTTTTTCCTTGGACTTCTTATGCGGGACACCCTGTATATACAGGGTGAGTCATTTTAATCGAACCAGTCAAATATCTCGAAAAATATGGAAGATACGGAAAAATATTTGAAACAAAAGTTGTATGGTTCGGAGGGGAACATAAGATGGTGCAATTGGCTTGACCCTGGATAATCGTTTGAAAATCACGCGAAGGT